TTCCCCAAAAAGGGCTAAGGTCAGTCGATATATCGATTAGAGGGCAGTAAACCAAACATCCAAGGTAAAAAAAACAAAAATTTTAAACCAACAAAGTCTTAAAAAACAACATAACACACCCATAACGAAAACTATTATAAACCTTCCAGTTTAATAAGTTTAAATAAACTATAGAATTGCTCAAATGTATGTTTGAAATTTTAAAAAAGTGTCGAAAAAACTTTTACAATTAACTTTTATATAATTAATAAAAGCAGAAATCCAAAGAAAAAGAAAAAAGAAAGCAAGTTTCTATGAGAATATTATTTAAATTTTCAAAAATAAAGCCTTGAATTTCTCAAATACCAATAAATATATAAGTTATATTTAAAGTTTCTAATGTTTTTGGCAGCACATTTATTTATTTTTTTCATCATCAAGTAAAACAGCATTTTCAGGTGTCATATATAACAATGTAATATAGAACAGAGGCAGCAATTTCAAATCAATCGCTATAAAAGACTCAAACAACTAATCATTCCCAGACAGTTGAACAAATAATCTGCTTGGGATCTCCCAATAAAATATAAAATATTTTTTAAATAATAATTTGTTTATGTTTTTATAATACAGTAATTTTAATATAATAGTTGAAAACTAATTCTGGTTGTGGATTGATTAGATAATAATACATGAAACATGATAAATCAAATTATTTGAGGAGTTTAAACCAATCTTTAGTATATATGTTTTTTTTTTTTTTTTTTGTTTGGAAGTATTTGGATGACAAACAGTAAGGATTTTCACTAACATTTTTTATTATTGGTTCAGATTCTTCGAACCCAATAAAAAATATGACTGAAAATGCTCACTAGTTTTCATCCAAAATAACCTTCAAATAGTCAACTATAATTTATCTTCTTTTTTTTCCCCATACCTTACTTTTTGGTTATATGGGGATTTTACCGTGCCAGGTGTGAGGACAGCCACGTAATAAACGTTTGTAATACACACATTGCCAAGCAATGTGTGTATTACAAACGTTTTAGCCCCCTCCGTCATCAAACCTCACCAACTATAATTTACAGTGAAAAATAATAGTTCGTAGCAAGTACCTCCTTCAATGCAAAATTGACAACTAAAACATTACATCTACACTTCTCAAATTATACAATACTTTGTTTAGGAACACATTTCGTTTATCATAATTATATCTTTTCCCATGTCTCCTAAAGGCATTTTAAAATATGATCTGCACCTGATTTAATTGCTATCTAGTTTGGCCTGGCGAATACAAGTTATTTTTAACAAAATTTTATACTTGATTTGCTACAGATATATATTTTTTCCTAGGTTCTTAACATTTAAAAATTTCTCTAATAATAGAATTTGAAGTTAAGAGCCCAGGATGACAACCAGCATCGGTAAAAGAGGTAATTAAGAATCTATTATACTATAGAAATCTCTAATAGGAAAAACAACTGAAGAAATGTAATTTTCAATTGAAAGCAACCCCATATTTATTACGAGTACTTTGTTCGCATTGAATTTTTAAACTTTTAACAGTGATAGAAAATAATGCAAGTAGTGAAATGTGTTCATCGATTAAGTTTGTATATGGAAAAAAAATTATATTCATTAGAGACATTGTAAAAAGAGTGAAACAGTGATCCATTATTTTTAAAAATGGTCCTACCAATCTTTAAGATAAGGACTGCAGTAGTTGTCCTAGCCTTGCGACTGTTAAAATGATATTGTAAATCTAAAAAAAAAATTCCATGAAAACCGCTACTATATAATCATTTATATATAAATTATACATATATTTGGGCAAGAACTCCAATTCCATATTTCTCAAATTTCATTAAATTTATACAACGAAACATGGGTAAAGCATATCATTTATGAGATACAAAGAAATCTGTGCAATAGGAACATAGAAGTTCTCTCAAGAAACCAAGTAAATACCCACAAACTCCATGTAATCCTAATAACTTTTATTTTCTTCAGATTTATCCAAATGATTTGAATGGTTTCATATGTGAATTGTGAATACACAAGATATCTAACAAACATAGTAAAACTTTGTCTTTCTTCTATCCTTTCATCTATTCTATTGGGTTGGCAAATAAGTCCTTTCCGTTTTTCGGTTTATTTTCATGTCACTATGATACATTTCTTATCTGATGAATTAATATCTAAGGTAGATTGTTTATCCTGTTTGTAATATGTCAACAACTATATCTGATAAAGCTTGTTGAAACTAGCTTAGTATTGTGTTTTCTATTCCACTGTAAATATAGAATAAAGTATCATACATTATCAGCATATTTTGTTGTATTATTTTAAAAAATATAAGCTTGCTGCAGAAGCTCAGAAAAATATGGAGAGTTTATAGGAAAGATTTCTTAACCGAATGCACCTGTAAAAATTGGTTTGCCAAATTTCATTCAGGAAATTTTGACGGCTTCAACGGCTAGGTAGCCCACATGAAATTGAAACGAGTAATGTTAAGGCCATTGTTGATCAAAATCCTGCCCAATTAGTGTGAGAGATTGCTATGGCCCTAAATGTGTTACACACGAGCATAGAAAACCATTTGCACAAGCTTGGCTATGTTTTCAGGCTTAAAGTTTGGTCCCTCACTCTCTAACTGAAGTCAACTTGGCAACACGCATTTCAGTTTGTGATTCACTACGGAAATGGCAACAAAACAATCCATTTTTGAATAGGTTGGTAACAGGAGATGAAAAATGGATATTTTATGATACTGTAGACTGTAGAAAATCTTGGGGAGCTAGTAGTGTGAAATGTGAAAATCCGGATTGCATCCAAAGAAGACAATGCTTTCCATATAGTGGGATTTCAAGGGTGTTGTTTTCTATGAGCTATTGCCATCAGGACAAACAATTGATTAAATTCTATACTACTCACAATTAACAAAATTGGATCAATCAATTAAAAATAAACCCCCAGAACTGGCAAATCGGAAGGGTACACTACGCTATACCCACACCTCATTGGTCACTATCAGTAAATTATTGAGCGTTGGATGGGACCTTTAGCCCCACCCTCCCTATTCACCAGACCTAGATCCAAGTGACTACCACTTATTCCGGTCTCTGCAGAACTCCATGAATGCAAAGAAATTCCACAAGGAAGTGGACATCAAAAACCACTAGGAACATTTTTTTAACAATAAACTCCAGACATTCTATGAACATGGCATTATGGAGTAAGTGAAAAGATGGGAAAAAGTCATATTAAATAATATTCAATGTATTGTAGATTAAAATAAATTTTATGTCTATAATACATTGAGTTTTATTTCACCCTGAAAAACCCAAAGGTCTTGTTTGCCAACCCAATACATATCGTTGGTTTATTGCAAAAATTCACCAAGTGTAGCTTAAAAGTAAATATATAATTTTATTTATTTATTAGATTTTTTAAAAAAATTGTTTGGCAGTGATTCATGTAAATTTAATATTTATTTATTTCCGCATAAATAGTGAGTTGATTGACTATTCTTTCAAAAAATTAATATTTGACTAAGAGCTTTAATAGACTAAATAAACAGTTGCTATAAGTTCTTTACCTAAATTCATTCTCAGCAATTGAAAATAATGTTGGTTTATTACAAGTAATAATGAAAGTCACTAAGTGTATATTTGATATAGGTTAACTTTTAACTTAGTAATTGAAACTAAAATTGTTAATTTTTTACATTGTTTGCTCAGTACAGTGAACAGCAAATTTTATTTTAAATAATGAATCATTTATTTTTTTTGAACTAATAATTAATCCATACATTTTTGATTTGATATCTCATACAACAAATAATCTAGTTTTTCATGGTACAAACTATTTTTCAACTGTTCAGAGTTAGCCAAAAAGAAAAAATAGAGTAAGAAATGTTTAAAGTTTCAATCACTTTCCTCTTTTAACTCCTGAATTGGTGATTTGTTTTTACGAAGCATTTTCTGACTATTTAATAGTAGGCGAAAGAGGAAAATAGTGTGAAAATTTGTGTTTGCTTTTGCTCTTTTATATTGTGAATAAAAAATCAGAACATTTTTAAACTTTTTTTCCTATAAGCCTACCTCTAAATAATAAAAAAATAGTGTAAACCACGAAATTCTATTCTTCTGTTGATGAAATATAAGATGAAAAACAAAAAAAACATTGATAAGTTATTTGTGTAGGGAAGTGATAGTAAAAAGTCGGCATATACTTTAAAATATAAAAAAACATCAACCATACACTTGATATAAGTTGAAGAACAAAAGAAAATTTCCACATGTTTTCTTTTTAGCCTAACTCTAAAAAGTTGAAAAATAATTTGAACTATGGAAAACTGATCATCCGTTGACGAGATAAAAGAGGAAAAGCAAATAAAAAGTCAGAAAAATTTTTCACTTGTATTTCATTTAGCCTATCTCTAAATTAAAAAAATTTAATTTAGTCTAAAAATTGTTTGCACTCGTTTTCCTTTTACCATACATCATTACGTTTGGAAAACATTGTGAATGACAAAATAGCATTTTCTCATGCAGGAGATATAACAAGAAAAGCAAATGAAAAGTCAGAAAATGTTTTGATGTAGAAGTGATTGAAATTTTTGTACGCTGTGATGTCTTTAACATGAGTTTCTATTTTTTTTTTTTTATTTGAATGAGATGATGGTTATTTTATAACAAATAATAAATAAAATACCATACAGAACTTTCATGTGAAGATTCAGAATGTCTGTAATATAAAGAATAAATCAATTGTACAAAGCCGATTCACGACAGTTTTTTTTTTTTTTTTAAGAACAATGACAAATTATTTATTTAAAAAATTTAGTAAGGAAGAAAGAAGTACCAATATAAATTTCCAGCATTGTTCCATACAATAAATAGTTAATTGTAAAATAAAAATAATTAATTTAGTTAAAACATATGAAAGAATAAGAATGAACTGGATAAAAACAAAAGCAAGAACTATAATAATAAAAAAAAATTCAAATTAATATTTACCATTTCCCAATCAATACTCTTGAAAAATGGGTGATTGACAATGTCCATAAAGCCAGTCTCTTTACTGCAGCCTAACCTGTCCTGGGGTTTCTTATTCAGGAATCCTTTCAACACGGACGCTGCCTTTACCGAAAGCGACCTTGGAATTCGAATGGTCTTCTCAAGAATGACTGCAAACAGTTAACGAATTGATATCAATTAAAATTATGTTAATAATATCACATTAAACATACATAAAATTAATAATAGCAAGACCTTTGCCATTCATATTGGTAAACATATTTACAAAACAGGAATTCAAAAATTGACTATTGTTAATTTTTCAATGTTTCAAGTCTCGCACATTTGTGAGACTTGAAAGATCACAATGACATACATTCATACTCAATAAAAACTGTGATTATTTCAGTATGAATTGGAGTAGTGTAAACATATGCCTAATTAAACAATATCTTTCAATATTTGGAGCAATATCAATGATATATACTACTTAAACAGATAAGCCAATTTTGTTAATTATAGAAAAAAATCAACCGAATAGGAAAAATCAAAATATTCCAAGTGTATTGTGTCAGGAAGAATATTAGAAGAACAGTATTAAATTACCTCATTAAAAGTAAAATAAATATTTATATTTTTAAATTTTTTAAGAATTTTCCTGACAACTCACGTTTATTGTTTCTTAAAAATACTGATAATTATGTTATTTTGGGATCTATATATGTACAAACTATACAGAAAGAATTATTTTTATGCTTCTACTAATATAAATCCAAGTGACAGAGAATAATTATATATTTTGTATATTATTAATTTCAGGTAATAAGTGGAAATTTAATTATTTTAGTATTAAAACATCTCAATGAAATGTGTAACCCCTCTTTCCCTCCCAAACCACAAGCTCTAAAAAGTACAATCCCCATTAATAGTTTTATAAACCAATTCAGAGTTTGAATAATGTCACAAATTCAAATACTGACGGTAAGTTAAATGAAAATCTCCTATGTATACCAGTGAAATCCAGGGCAGTGGAGAGGAATCCAGTAATAAATTTTCTCGTGTACCCATCAAATATTAAATTCACTATTGAAACCCAAACATTCCCTTTATCATATATGCAAAAAAAAATATTATGTAATTATAATATAATATATTTAAAGTTTTGTTAAAAAATTAATATAAAAAATAAAAGCAGCTCGACCATGGCAGGCCTCCTTGTAGATCCAGTCCCCCCCTTCTTGTGGGGCCTGGTGAAGTCTACAAGCCTACTTAATAAAGTGAAGTCTTCTTAAAAAAATGGAATTATTATTTTATTTGATGTAACTGGCAACAATGTGGAACTACTGAAGGAAGGCTTTCTTTCTTTCTAAAAAATTGTGAGCTAGATTTTAGATTGAATTTTTTTATTATTATTATTAAATAAACATAAAATTGAACATCAAATTATATTTGCAATCATTTTTCTGTCAGAGGATTTATGTTGTAAGTTGGTCTTCGGTGAAAGTTATTGTAGTTTTCTTTTGCAGTGTCAAAAATTGTTGGGATGTTTAAGTCATTATGTAATATATTGTTTGTGGCAGAAAAGAGAGTGTCAACAATCCTTCACAAAATTTTGGACTGAAAAGGACGGATTTTTTTTAATATTGGAAGTTTTAGCACAACCCCACAGTTCTATGCCATAAATCCAAATTGGTTGAAGTAAAAATTTATAGAGGGTTAGTTTATTAGTCAAAGATAATATTTGAATGTCTTTCAATTAACCTAGATAAAAAACTATCGTATGTTTAATTCAATTCGTTTTTGTCTAATGTGAGTTCTCCAAGTTAGTCTTTTTTCGAGGTAAAATCCAAATATCTAATTACATTTGATGCTGGGATTTCAATGTTATTAAAATATATTTTTTGGGGTAACTGCAACATTAAGAGTGAATACTACGTACACACTCTTTTTTCATTCATTTTAATTTTCAACCTTTTGACCCAATCAGCAATATTGTTCAAGTGGTTTTGAAGAGTGGTGGATACTCGAACAAGATTTTTATCCGAGCTGAGGATTGCGGTATCGTTAGCAAAAGTATTCAGTAGAGGGTCATTCTGTTGCAGCAGGTCTGAAATATATATATTTAACAATATTAGTCTAATACCCTGAGGTACTGCTGCTTTAATAGATTTAATGTTAGAAGGTTCTGTCCCTACTTTTACTACAAAATATCTTTTCAATAGATATGAGAGTACTATTAAATAATAGGTCGGAGGAAGTAAATTTTTTAAAAAAAGAATTGCTTTCCAAGGCAAATTTTTTATGATGAAATTCGTAATTAAGTCAAATCCCGAAGCTTTATTCATAGGCAAGCTCTTAATAAAATTTTGAACTTTATAAGGATTAATATTGAGGTGATTTTAAGCAATTATAGTAGAGAGTTTCTCATTTATATCATCATGAGGTTCAAATGGTTCTTTGAGCTGGTGAGCAAAAAGTTGCGATTTTTGAGTATCTGACTTTGCCCAAAAACCATTATAGCCCTTGGAGCCAAGGCCCAATGTTATTCTAAGTAAAATGAACCTTATCTGCCATTCCAGAGCCGCAGATTTCAATAATTGAGGCTGACTTAAAGAATATTAAGCTAGTAAAACTTGAGGATCGAAATGAGAAATGTATTGCGAAAAATGTGAGAAAAGTTTTCATTTTTTTAACTTGTACATATGGGTTTAGAAGTGTAAAAAAAAAATGCTATCACAGGCCACCAAAGGAAAACTTTTTACAGCCAAAAAAGTAAGCTTTTTTCTATATTTTTTTAGTTATCTTCTTGTTTTTCTTTCTCTAGTAAGTTTTGGTTTATATTTTTAAGGTTATGGCAATTAAACTTCCATTTTTTCTTTAATCTTTTTTAATCAAATCTGAAGTTTCGGGATAATTTTCTCTTCTACAGAGATTCCTTTATATTTACTTGACTTTGTAATGTGGCACCAATTGTCAAAAATTACAATAACTGTCATAACTACATTTAAATATAATTCTTTTTTTAGTGTTACACATTCGTTTTTTATACATAACTATACCAACCAACATTTGGTTATTTTAAGTTCCATTATTGTACTACCAATGATGATCTTGAAGTAGACATATGAATTTAAAGATAAATACATACAAGTGAGTTCACGTATTTGTACAAATAAGCAATATGGTATATACATAAATATCAGTATAATTTACTGATGTACAGTATGAATTGTAATGTACACTATAATGAACTACATTACAACATGTAGCTGACATCTCTAAAGTACAAAGTAATTTTATTTTTAAATATATTCGGAAGATTGATTACTGAGGAGATGGAATAATAAATTGTGTTTAAATGAGGTCAAGGATGAGTATTTCCGTATAGAGGTTGGTAGGGAATTCCAAAACGTGGTAGCGTTCTATAAGAAGGAATAAACAAATTTGAGGATTGAGATCTCGTGTTGAACAAATGAACAGAGGAACAAGGAGTAAAGAAATCAAGAAGGTAAGAAAGTTTTATAGTTGCAAAGCTTTGGAAAAGGAATACAACAAGGAAATATTGCCGTTGAAAACTAGATAGAGACACTTCAACTCGGCATAGCAACTGGAGACATGGGAGCGCCTCGGGACCTAATCTAATGAAACAATTCATTACGCTCTTTAATCTGATCTCAAGCCCACCAGACAGTCCACCGTATACAAGGCAGCCATAATCAAAGTGAGGGAAAATGAGAGAGCAAACTAGGAGCTGACTGATGTTAAGGGGCATAGAGTCACGGAATCTTAGGAACTGTTTGAGGATAGCAATGAACTTTTGGGAAATGAGATTATTCCAGGATAGATGTTGATCAAACATTACCCCAAGTTTTCTTAAGGAAGTGAGTAAACCTATAGATATCTCATTGAGGTAGAGTAGAGTAATAAGAAATGAGGTTAATCAGATGCTAGGATCCAGGATCACAGAGCAAAATACAGTTATGGAGAAAATTGTAGCATTTCTGATACCTTGGAAAAGAAAATCTTCCGTGTTCTGATCAGGATTTTCAGAAGCACCAGCTATATCGAATGGACTCCTACCGGCTAACATTTCATACAGTAATACTCCCAATGCCCACCAGTCCACACTGAAAAAAGAAAGAAAGAAAATACAAAATAATTTTTTAATGAAATATAAATTTATAAGAGGTTAAACTAAAATTACTAACAATTTAAACTAACCTTCTGAAAATTCAAAATTAATGAGATATTCCAGAAAGTAATATTTTTTTAAAGATTAAATAAATACATCTTTAATAATTACATATATATGTAATAGTATAGCATATATATGTAATAATAAAACCATTATGTTGTACTTTGGTAAATTATTCTAAAAAATGGTGGATTTTAATTACTGAAATTTATGCTTCACAATTTTTCCTAGGACCAAAAAATATCTTTAGAGATCTGATATTTTTAAAAGAAATATGAAGAAAGCGTTAAGAATTATTTAGTAAAAATAAAAACTATGAAATTTTTATGAACACATGTCTTTATATTTATTATTATAAATTTGTAGGTATGTGGATTTACACACTCATTTGGATTTACACCACTCATTTGGATTTACACACCTAGAGAGTGGACATGTGTAGAAATTAATTATGTCAAAGGGATAAACACGATATTTTCATTTATTGAATGATATTTTGCTACTAGTACAAAGAATATATTAGAACAATAAATATGCTGAATATATTTCTGTAAACGGTATTATAACAAATAAAAAAAATAGCTAATACCTATACATATACATACCTAAACCCATAGTCTTCTCCTCTTAGTATTTCAGGTGCAATGTAGTTTGGTGTGCCACAGAATGTCGAAGTGGTATCTCCTGCTCTAATTCCTTCTTTACACATTCCGTAATCTGTTAACTTTATATGACCTTCGTGGTCAAGAAGTACATTATCTAATTTTAAATCTCGATATATAATTCCTGAAAAGAAAAAAAAGCAATTAAAAAAAATACTGATGCAAAAAAAAAAGATGTAGAGACAAATATAATAAATAATAAATGCAGAACTTTTTAATAGTATATCTAGACTAGACTAGTTGATTCATTTAGCCCTATCTCTAAAATATCAAGCTGAACTTAGGAGTTCCAAAACACCATCAGGGGATATTTTTCAAATCAAATTTAGAATTTTCAATTTCAAATTAAGATTTTTCAAAATTTAAGAATTCCATCAATTTAAGAATTTTTATAACACCAAATGGATAAGGTATTTTTGTTTTCTTATTAAATTCCTTAGAAGTAGTACCTATTATGAATAATAAGGTTAGGTAATATAGCATTTTAAGTCCAATTTTAGAAATTTTCGAATTAAAGTTTAAATGAATTTTCCACAAGTAAATTCCAAAACGTATAACTTTGACAAAAGCCGGAAATACAGAAGAACATCAATACATTAGTCTGGTAAAGGAAATATAATATACCCCTACTACAGTGGCCTAGGGGAAGAGTCATAAAAGTCCTTCTAGGTCGTGATGGGACCTATGGGGAATGATATATCATAATATATGTAAATATAAAGCATTTTTAAAGATTATAAAAAATGTTGTTAGTATTTTAATATAGGTCTGTGTTTAATTATTTCAGAAATCATCAGTGAAACACTTAATAACATAATATTGATAAAATAAAATTATATTAAATGTGAAACATTTTTATAAGTAATATAGAATTGAAAATGGACAATATACAGGGTGTTTCGTAATTGCACGACACTATTTTAGGTATGTGTTCACTGACAAAAAAAATAAACAAAAAAGTTCATATTAACATATATCTCAAACATATTTATTAAACATATATCAAAGGTTGAAGATTTAATATTTATTATTAATATTTATTCATTATTATTACAACATTTAGAGTAACTGTTCAAAGGGACCTCCGTTTTGTTGAATGCAACATTCAGCACGACAAATCCATGCTTCTCTGGCTTTTCGTATAGCATCAGGATGGTGCTTGATAGTTACTGCGACTTCCACGATCCGATTTCTTAGGTCTTCTTTCCGCAGAATAAACCATAGACTTCATCCAGCCCCACACAAAATAATCTAATTGTGTTAAATCCAGAGATTGTGGTGGCCATCCGTTTTACACAGGTCCATTTCGACCAACCCATCGGTCTCCATAAGTTGCATTTAAATAATCAGCGACACTATTAGAAAAGTGAGCTGGAGCACCGTCATCCATAAACCACAGCCTTTGCCTAATACCGAACGAAATATCTTCTAGGAGTTCATGAAGATTATTTTGTAAGTAAGATATACCTGACAGCCTAGGTGGAAAAAAGAAGAGAACGATGATGTTATCGCTTAGAAGACCACACCAGACATTTAAAGAAAAGGTATGTTGGTAATGTCCAACAGCAGTCGTATGAGGATTTTCTTTAGCCCAAATATGGGTATTTCGAAAATTAAGAATTCCGTTTCTTGTAAAGTAAGATACATCAGTAACCAAAATGCAGTTCAGGAAGTTAGGATCTTGTGTGCATTGTCGAATTAACCACTGAGAGAAATTTCTGCGCTTGTTATGGTCTTGTAGTAACAAATCTTGCCTACTCGATACGTGAAATGGATATAATTGTTATTCGCATAAAGTTCGCCATACAATAGTAGAGGAACACCAAAACGACGTGATAATCTTCTGGTACTAGTAGTAGGAGATAACTGAACAGCATTGAGTATTTCTTCTTTAACATTTGCAGTGCCTTGAGATCTTTGTCGACCGGCGTTTACTCGTATAGGTTTTAGCGTGCCATTATCCCTAAGGCGTCTTTCTATGGCCTCAAACGTTTTTCGATTTGGTATTCTTCGATTAGGAATCTTTCACGAAATCTTCGAACAGCAGCAGCACCATTTTATACATACATGCTTTTAACTTATGGCGAGGCACATCGCCATAAGTTAAAAGCATGTATGTTTGTTCTGCAAAAGTGAATAAATTTACGGTATCTCCCGTGATAATCATAAATTGAACTGTGTCACAGTATTCACTCACACTAAAACATACAGAACTAGACAAACAGATGAGCAGCTACTGTCATTGCTTATCATTCATTTGTTTATCAGGTGATTAAAACCTGTTATTTAGTATTAAACACATTAAACTTTTTACAGTCAGTCTTAATATAGTAAATAAATAATAAATCTTTAACCCTTGATTTCTGTTTAATAAATGATGTTGAGATATATGTTAATATGAACTTTTTTGTTTATTTGTATTAGTTAACAAATACCTAAAATAGTGCATTGCAATTACGAAATACCCTGTATAATAGGTTAGAAACATACAGATAGAATAAATAAAATGTAAGAAAGTGGTTAATAATCTTCCAGGAAATTAAATAGTGACTAATATTTAATAAACCCTTTGATAAGAAATTTATTTCGATATTGTGAAGAATAATTTATTAATTTTTTGTTTTTTTTTGTTTATTGTTTATTGAAAATATTACAATCTGTCTCAAAGGATATTTATAATAGTGTTCAGAGATCACATTCACTTTCGATGTACAATAATAATATTGTAGATGTTATTAAGATGTGAAATTCATAATTCATAATAGGAATGCTAATAGATATAAAATAAATGTTTGAACAAATTTCATAACATTTTTTTTTAATTTTACATTTATCAATAAAGATTTCAATTAATAAGCATTATTAACTTAAAATCAACTTTGAATAGGAGATAACTACCTCGTTCGTGGAGGAAATTTAGTGCTAAACTAATTTCTGCAGCATAAAACCTAGCATGCTCTTCAGCAAGCCTACGTTGCCTTTGCATGTGGAACATGAGGTCCCCTCCTCGAACGAATTCAATCACGAAAAACAGCCGAGATGGAGTTTGGAAGCAGGAATGGAGTCCAACAAGGAATGGATGGTTTGAAGCAGTCTCGAATACATGCTTTTCGGTTTGTACCCAGTCTATGTCCTGAAATAAAAATTAAAAATTAGCAATCATATAATAATTTTGAATAAATAATTTTATTCAACCATTAGAACAGACCTAATACTATGTTATGAGTTCCTTTAAAAAAATAAACTGTCAATTTTAAATAAAAGTTTAATATTTTTGTATAAAATGTTAGTATATTACTTTCACTAATTATCCGTACAAATAAGATTCTGTCAGATTATTAATAATACCAAGACAGAAGATAATATAAATTTTTCTTTCATAGGAATGATTGGAAATTTATAAAGATTTTAGTAATGCATATCAGGAGGAGAGATAATGCTCCTCCATTAGTAGTTATGCAAATGGATGGCCTAATACAAAACAAAAAAATACCTAAAGAAGACAAATATAATTTCTAGGCCATTAATTATCCATTTGGCAATTCTTGTTAAACTATTGACCTAATGATGAGGGTATTCTTATGACCCTAATCATGAGGCATTATTAAAATTGAGGGTAGCATTAGTAAATGGATTGATGCTGGGTAGCAAAATTACAGCTCAGTAGGTCTGGTTCCAGAGTTTGAATGACCTTATTACCCAGCTAAGATTAGTTTTAACTTCATAATTATCCAGAACCCAGAGAAACCCATAGCTCATTATTACTCTGCCCAAGTAAAATCTGTTACCCAGCACATAATAAACAAAAATGCAGATGTCTGTTTTTATAACCAGGGACTAATTTTCATTGTCCAGGAAAAAATTTCACAGGATATTGGGTACTGGGTTCAGGTATCTCATAAGTTTAAACTAGACAATTGTCTGGTACTCGGAGAAGCACAATAGCTCGTTGTTACCTGGTACCCAGTGAAATCTGTAACTTAACATATCTCTACTTTATACATAAATTTCAATTAATAAAAACATTTTAACATCAATTCAATTTTTCAAGGGCAAATAGTATATACCTATTTTCTGTATAGTCATGAAAAACTCTTAAAATCTTCCTTTAATCTAAGCTATTGTTTACAAAAAAGTAGAACTTTATAATAAAGTTATGGAACTCCACCGATCCACATGGGCGTTGTCAAGTTATCTATAATGTCTACAATAAGGTTACAACAGATTGCGCCAGACTGCCCTCCTATCATGGAAGGGAATTGTTTGTCAACACTTGTCTCCTCCACTTTACGTTCATAAGAAATCAAAATTACAAGGTTTAGGTTATATTTTATGCACATTTTTTAAAGTTAGACTTCTTAACTTCAGTTCCCACTATTTTCACTATTTCTAAGGAAATAAATATTGAATTACCATGCTTTTGATTGTTGATCGATTAATTGAAAAAAAAAAACACTAACTTTTAAAAATGATTGGGGAATTCTAGTTGGGAGCCAATAAGGATTTGTAATTCTTCAGAAACCTGGTGTTCTTTGTTAATTGAATAACCCTAAAAAACTAAAATTGAAGTTTACTAACCTCATCATCGGTAACCAAAGCCTTTTTGATCACTTTCATTGCATAAATCCTTTTCGTTTTCTTCAGCTCTACCATTAGAACTTTAGCATATGATCCACGTCCAATTACTTTGATTAATTCAAAATCAGCTATTGAATATTGCCTCTGTGTACCAGGCTCTAGACTCTCATCACCTAAAAAAATAAAGATATAATTAATGTCAATATATATTAAACTCTTTCTTAATATTCTATTCTATATATATGTAAAGTCAGGTATTGTTATAAAACTAACCCCTATCCCTAATTCCTACTTTCAACAATTGGGAAAGGCACTCTTTTAATATTAATATTAAGTTGTAGAATCATAATTTATTTTAAATAATTGGTAAATGGTTGACTGTCGTGGATAATGAAGAGAAGAATAGTTGGGATGGTCAGTCAAAAAAGAAGGCAAAAATAAATGATAATATTTTATCATTAACAAAAATATTATCATTTATTTTTGCCTTCTTTTTTGACTGACCGCCCCAACTATTCTTCTCTTCATTTATTTTAAATGTTGGATATAGTGTTGCAATTGAAAAAGTTAGTTGGGAATGCTTATTGTATCTTTCTTGACCGTACCCCCTTCCTCCTCCCCAATCGACTTCTAGAACAATTTTAATATTTAAAAGTAATTATAAGAATCCTTTTTATTTTTCATGAACATTCTCCTTTAAAAAGAAACATGGAATAGTTAATTATCTACCAAAATTTAACTATCAAAATATGGTGATAGCTATTAGGTGTTAAGATATCCTACATCTTGTTATTAAGACATCTATTTTGCTTTGATATTCTTGTCTTATATCTTATCTGTGTCACCAGTGCATAGTATATTAAGTGAAAAATCATATTTATGGAAAAACGCAATTGAAAGTTTGAAATTTTCACAGGTGCAATTTAATTTCATCTCTGTGATAGCATCATAACATAGCTCATTAGAAACAAAGAAAGAGAGAAAAAAAACCCAACTTTCTGCTGCTGCCCATAAAAATTTACAAAATTGAACTTCATAAAATACTCAGATACATAGACATATACAGAATAAAAGTTACTTTTCTTCTTCTACACAAGTTCCACCGTTTTATTTATTAATAATATATAATAAAAATCAAGTATGTTAAGACGTAAATGAAATACTTCAAGGTCCCGAGTGAGGCTCTGAGTTTGTCAAGAAACCACAACAAAGCTAACATCACCCCATAGCTTAAATAATAAATGACTATTTTTAGAATTTAAAATGTTCGGGTTTCTATAAATTAGTCTTTTTTTAAGTTCATTTTATTTATTTAATTAAAAACAGTTGTATTTTGCTAACATTATTTCCTTGAATTAAATTCTTCAATTAAAGAAGAACCAATGTCTATATTTTACCAAAATATAATTGATTGCATATTTGAATAAAACCCCACTAATTTGAATAGGAAAGTAAAACAAAGTATAGCAATGTAATTTTTTACTTTGGCTATAAATGTTTTTGATTATTTATAATTAAAGTTAATTTTAATTTAACCATAACATTTTGATTAGAATCACTTCTTATCAAAAGTGAGAAACATGACTTAGGTTATCTTCACAATAAGTCACAGAGTTATTTCTTATTTTCCATTTTTTTGTTTTAAATTAATTTTAATTCAATTTTGTTAAAATTTGTTAGCTTTATCTATATTGTAATTTCAAACCTGGTCATAAGTGGTACTGTATTGCAAAAATTTTATAGAATGATGTATCTAAAGAAAAATTAAATAAAAATAAAACAGATGAAGTTGTTAGGGTTTTCATGCAGACAATTCTCACAGGGCAAAACCTACAATGAAAAATTTGATATTTCAATAGCATAATAACATTAACTTGGGAACTACTTACACTTAGAGGGGTCTTCAATAGGGTCTTCTACTGGATGGTCCTCTAATATGGGATCTTCTATAGTTGTTGGAGTACCTAGGGTTCCAAAAGTAACAATAAAAACATATAAGGTAGGGTAGCAATAAAATAAAAAGGTTCAAAACTGATGTGAGATTAAAAATAAAAACATAATATTTATAACCACACACTTTATTACTAAAGAGGAAGGAATTCCTGAAATTCATTTTGTAAAGAATATATTTTTTACAGCAATTAATGACTGAAGGAATGTCTGTTAATATACATTAATTGACTAGGTTAAAAGCATCCTGGAGTACTGTTACCTTGGCGAACTCTCTCCCCTTTCAAAATTGTTTATTCCAGTCTTTAACATAATGTAAGACTCCAAATAAAAGTATACATAGCCAATTTTTGTTTTATAGGTTCAATTCAAACTGTTTCTGATTATTTAATTTAAGAATGTTAAAGTTGAACTATGAAAGAAAAAAAAAGGCATTAGAATTGATTTAAATTGAAGCTATGTAACAAAAATTTGCTTTTTCTCAACTTTTTAAAAATGACAAATGTCTATTGGATATGAAGCTACTCAAATGATAATTGACTTCAAGTAATATGTTTTGAAATAAACGTCATCATTATATGATATTAACATATTGTATTCACTGAGTTAAAGCCAAAACAAGCAAAAACAAATATTTTTTACCTAAGTTAAAAACAAAATTGCTTCAAATCTACAACCTTTTAAATAATCCTGCCAGTGGAAAGTGTTCCCTTTATCCCTCTCCCCCTATAATTCTGGCCATGTTTCAACTGTAATTTTTTAAGTATTTGAAAGTTGTTTTTATTCAATGATTTTTAAATAACAGAAACACCCATCTCTATTTGATTTTTTTCTCTTTATGTAGAAATAATTATAATTCTTAGCTACGTTAGTTTATTAAGTACAGATTTAATTTTTTTTTATTTTAATTTTTTTTTTTGGAATGTTCTCTTCCTGAGTCATCCCCTGGAGGAAATTTTTCCATTCTCTCTATGGTAGTCATACCCCTGCTTTTGAACAATACAGTGGCCAAATAAAGTATTCATACACTATATTTTTTAGTAAAAAATCATTTTATATTTTTAATATAGAGTAACTATAGATAACAATTTTATTTTGCATTGTACAAAAAAGTGAAATTTTATAACTTATATTGTATGAAAAATATCAAATTTTTCAAATATGAAGCACAAAAAAAAATTTGTACCTTCAACTAACCCAAAGAAAATATAATAAATATTATTGGATATTTAATAGTTGACCATTGCATCATAAAGTAAAGAGATGGTCCGGGATGGCGGTCATAAATAGGCTAAATAGTGGCAAAACTATTTTATTAAAAGCCAACGTTTCGACCCAACTTTGTCGGTCTTATTCAGGGAGGTGTGTTCACCTAGGAGTTTCACTTATAACTCGAGTTCTAAGTTCTAAGTGAAATTCCCAGCTGAACACACCTCCCTGAAGAAGACCTGCAAAGTTGGGTTGAAACGTTGGCTTTTAATAAAATAGTTTTGCCACTATTTAGCCTATTTATGACCGCCTTCCTAGATCATCTTCTTCCATTATAATAAATATTAGTTTCAATCAATTCTAGTATTTTGTAGGGCATCCTTTTAATCCAGTAAAATTAGGGGGGAAAAACAGCCTTACCTCAACATTAAAAAAATAAAGATAAGACTTGTCAGAAATTGTTTATTACCTTCCCCATACTAACTGGAAAAAAATCCCTAAGAATCCTGCATCAGGTTTAGATGGACTGAGGGGAAGGGAACAGAAAACTGATATTTTTGTAGTTATTTGAAAATATTTAAACAGAATTTATGTTTGATGAGCTTTAAGTTGATATTAATTAGATTGAGTTTACATTTTCTCTAATTGAATAAAAATATTATTAGTGTGGAAAAATTAGATATCAACCCAAATATTTTGACACCTTTGTACTCAATTAAGGATGAATCTCACCTTACTCTATAACTAACCACAACATAATTCATAAAACCTAAAGCTCATCAAACAAGGAAGTTTTTCTGAAAGTGTGGTATCTTCAGTATAGTTGGGGGGTTACAAAATAAATCGTGAAGTATCCATCATTATATGAAAATCCGAACTTACCGTACTTTAACTGCTTAAAAATCCTCTTTAAATTGTTATAAAAAAAGGCATTTACTTGCATTTAATGTCAATTTAACCTAGTTTACTATGAAGTAATTGGTTGTAACCTGAATTAAACATTTTTTTAGTTATTAAATTTTATTCAACATAAAACTTGGTTGGCTTTAAAATTACAAAATTTAAGTTTCCTGGTTGTCAATGACTTTTAAGAATCATTAAAAGAAAGAAACTTTGAATAATAAATTGAGCAATTGAAATTATTAAAAAAACTAATTATCGTCTAAAAAAACTAACTACTTCAAAAAAGTATCGTCTACTTTGAACACCATCAATTTCGAGATTCGGAGCAATTTTTGCTTTAAGTGGAAATGCAATAAATATAATATCATAAATATCTCCGTAGCCACTAATTTCATAAAAAAAATGTACAGAGTCATTTTTATAGAGATTTTAAAGTTCTTTAATATTGTACTGAACAATCTTTTTGAAAAACCTCATAGTTTTTGAGATACTCGCAAACAATTAAAAAAATATCAGTTTTCTGTTCTTCTCTCCCCTTCCCCCATCAAAACCCGACATGTGATTCTTTGGGACAGCTTCATGTAGCCGATAGTTTGGGACGTTACAGATTTCTCACAAGCTGATGGGATGTGAGCCAAAACCTTTCGAGCACTTAATTTGCGATTTTTGCCACTATACGTACCATTTGACAATATTCTCGCACTGTCAACAAACGTTTTATTCCTGGGCAGGGTTTGTTATGTGCTAATACGGATTTAAATTTTTTTATAATGTATTTCACTGTCGTATGAAGTAGTTCGAACTTTTTTCCAATATGTCCTGCTTAACATGTTTTACAATGTCATCTTTAAGAAGAGATCTCAACTCTTTAGACCTATGACCCAATGCTGAAAAAATATTCTTTAGTACTGAACCAAACAAACAATTTCTCAAAACAATTGCAGTTTTATTTATTGTTTAATCCTCAGAAGTAAAAGATTATAAATAGAATGTTAAAACACTACTTTGGTAACAAAAATTATCATATCATTAATACTTGCTCTAGTGCACAACAATATTTTTCTTGTTTACAAATTATTGAAATATTAATGCTGTAAAAGCTGCATTAGATTTTAAATTTTGGCATTACATAAAATTAACACAAAATGAAGTTTGTAATTGATATCTGCCATTATTTTTGAGTTCAAAAAATAGCATTTTAGCCACAAAAAAAAAGAGGGTGTATGAATACTTTTTTTGCTCACTGCATATCAATCAATTGTTCAAAAACTTTTCAACAAATGATAATATAATTTTTTTTGTCCAAATCCTCCAGTCATCAACAAATAAGGTTTAAGAAACACTACAGGCAATAATAATGTAAGAACATGTAAACCAACCTTTGATGATTGAAAAATATGTCTCAAATATTTTTCAAAGCTTTACAAACATGCAATACTTCAATAAAACCAGGTGACTCAACAGTAGGTTTCTTGTAAAAATGGTAACCAAACAAGATCTCAGTACAAACAGGAATATGTGAGTTTGAGAAACATTTCACTGATAGGCTGAAGTCGAATGTGATAATTTTTTTTTAAATGAGATGAATCTAACAATTTTATGTAAATGCACCAGAATAATAATTTCAACAAATTTCAGATATTCCATATTATAGCATAGTGTTTCTCAACCCTTGCAATGTACTAACTAAATTGATTATGCATGAGACCAATGAAGATCAAATAGATTTCATTAAATGGCACTATTTTGTTCAAGAACCATTAATTACATAACATAAACATTGACAGCAATCATGCTTAATTCTCAAAGAACAAATCGAACGCAGTAAAACATATTGTTTGCAGACATTCCAAATTACAGGTCCAGTTAAAAAGGATTTTAAAAACTCAAAATGAATAAAAATATATTGGAATAAAAAATAAAATAAAAACTTACTTATCCTCGGTGTGTCGCCGTTTGATTCCTCTTTTACAATGGGCTCAACTGCTTCATTACTACATGGCTTTTGGACTAACTTATGGCACTTTTTATGAACCAATAACTTGCACTGAATGCATTTGAATCCTTGCCGTCCGAGACCCCATATTCTATCCTGACAGAAGGCGCAGAATGCTCTCTAAAATGAAAAGAAGTAGTCATTAAAAATAAAATCATACTTTTTTCATGTCGTGAATATCTGGTGAATTATCTACTTTTTCATAAATACATTTCAACTTGTTTTTTTCTCCACAGTCATAAATAGAAGTGAAGAAAATTAAAAATAAAATCTCAAATGATAAAATAAATTTTTTCAAAAATATTTAAATTGAAATTATTTTAAGTATATAACTGTCAAGAGTAGTAAAAATGTTGAATGTCAAAAATTCAAATTTTATTGGAGAGTAATTTGTAAAACTTGCCATTTATTACAAATTACTACTTTTCTTACCACATTTACATGAATTTTAAGGAAGAAATCCTGATATACGTAACGATAAACTACAAAATATTCAATTGGCTTTCCAGAGAAATTGATATTTTTGATGTTTGAACTTTTATAACTTTGATACTATTTTATTGTTTTTAAATCAGGGGTTGAAACTTTTATGCAATTTTTAAAAAGTTTTATTGTAACAGTTTCTGTGAAAATTTTTAGGAAAAAAATTCCATTTTAACAGTTTCTCTGAAAATCTTTTGGAAAACAAAGTTCTAAGGAACTTTTTTGTAATTAAGTTTCAGATTTATGGTAAAAGTTGAACTTTTATTTATTCAAGTTCTTAAAAAAATTCTATTAAATGAAAAAGAATCGTTAATTGGGCTTATATTAGAGTTATAATTTGTCTTAAATGAATTATACATGATTCTAATATGCCACTTGTTTGTGTAGTTATAAATAAAAGTCATTTTTTTAAATCAACTGTTTAACAAAATCGACAGAATTTTAAAATAAAAGTTCTGTAAAATATTTATTTGAAAAGTTGCAAGGGAAAAGTTTTAGTTTCAGAAAAACATACAAATTAACAACAATAAAAATTCTGCTGACGCAGAAACTTTTAAAAAAAGAAGTTTTTTTTTCCGTTACAAGCCCTGTTTTAGATTAATGAAATTGCAATATTTACTTCAGCAATCATTGATAACAAATAAAATCTGTTCTTTTGTTTAGTATTAATATGATTGAACCCATTGAACATATTCAAACATAACATGTCAATGGGTTATATTTAAAATCATAAAGGTTCATAGAAAGTGACTTTTAAGTCCATATGAAGGAACTAAGACCTAAAATGTTTTAGAAATAAACCATCAGTGAAAATAATAAATAAGTTTTTTTGCACTTATTATGATAACAATTTCTTGACTTTTTCTCACATATGGGAATATTATCAGTTACTAGAAAAACTACCTACTGTCCACTTTATTATCATAATCATCCATCATTAAAAAAAACCAACGAACCAATAAAGTGAGAGTATCTCTTATTTATGGTTTAATTATAAAAATTATCAATATTGTATAAACCATAAAACATATCATATCTAAAATTATTATTTTATTTTTTTAAATTATAAAGAACAAACATACCCTATTAAACCTTTTTGCTTGAAATATATGTCCATTAACTCTATAAAGTTTCCTCCATCTTCGTGCTCCTCTCCTGTATATACTTCCTGAAAGAGTTACATCAGATACTGTAAATAGGCTACAATAGTAAACACTATATGCATAAATGCATTAAAGGTATATACTACATTTAAATCAGTTAACACTTAGAAAGACTAAAGGTATTTTTTTTTTTTTTGAATGAAACCAAAAACAATTAAGTAATGCTATTTTTAATCAGCTGAGCAAAACAGTTTCACCTATATACCTATATTAGTGTTTAGAATTCCTTAATTTCAAATTATTTAAGCAAATCTAAAAAGCATTTAACAAATGATAAATGTTTAACAACACAATTTGTAACGTTATCTGAATAAATAAAAAGTTTGTTACAGGCTGGCAAACCTCTATGCTTGAAAACATATCTCAACTAGATTATTATTATTATTATTATTATAAATATATTATTTATCATTAAACTTAAAGTAAGAAAAATCAAAATTAAGGGTTAATGATCTTTAACAATATTAAAAGAAAAAAATAAGTTATATGAGAAAACTTAGAAGCCTAGAAATGAACAACAAAATCAATCACAGAATTGCTAATGTAAACAATAACTTTAACAAAGTATCACTCATAGTTCATTATATCAAAAGCTTTTTTAAGGAAACTGAAATTTCTTAATATTTAATTTTGTTTAAATTATAATTATCTTTTGGAACAATAAGGACCAATATACAAATCTTTGAAATTCAGGAAAAATGCATAAAAGAGAATCATGATAGGGTAAATATTAATTGTAAAAAATAGCCAATGTCCTTTCATTATTAATAAATGTCTATAGCTAACAGTGGAAAGACACTTTCGTTTTTACTATTAATGTATACCCTGAAGCGATTGTTTTCATGCAGTCAACTATAAATTCAAAGTTTTATACATTGGCTATTTTGCTTTTAATGTACAGATATAATTCTTTTTTTAAAAAGTATTATTTAAAATTCAAAACCACATATAGAAAAATTTACTAGTTTTGTTAAAACATAATGCACCCCCCTAAAAAGATGAAAGAAATTAAAAATCAAAATGGAGAAAAAAATTAAAAAGCAATCACCATTTTTAAATCAGCAGAATATAAGTATTTACCTAATAAAATGCATGTTGAAAATATACAAATAAATGAAAATGTCACGTTATACAAATATATTTTATAAAACTTCTTTAACCATTAATATATTTTTATGTAATTTATTTTATTTAAGAATTAATGAATAGAATAGAGTTTATTTTATTTGATTTTTTTATGTTAACTAGTCTCAGAGTACTAGAATTATAAATATTAATTTATAGTCATAAATCATATCCTCAAAAAAATTATGGTTAAAAATTGATAAACAATCAAAGAAAATATATCATTCATTATAGAATGGGAGCATCCAAAAAAGAAATTATTAAAAATAATTCAGTAAACTAAATTTACTTCAAGAAATTAATACTTAAAAAAATCAAGAAGCTAATTGAAAAGGAGACAAGAAACACATATTTCATTAAAATAATCTGATGCAGAAATCAATTTATTAGATTGAATACATATAATGATACATGTTTAAAAATTTTAACTGTTAAAAGAATAATAGATAAACACACATATAATAAACAACTTACAATACTTTAATTAATTATTTTAACTAATCATTATACATTATAGAATTCAAACTGAGATGCAAGATACTTAAAATGGAAAAATGGAAGTGAAAACAAAGTAGAACAGATATGTTGCATCAATATAAAAATAATTTACATGAATTTTTATAGTGAACAAACAATAAAAATTTTAATCTAACGTATATTTCAAAATTACTTTTTATCGTTGAGCATTTAGTATTGAACCAATTTCTTCAAAAGAACAACCAGTAAATTGATTTTGAATAGAGAAAATTCAAAGTTTATTTTTCTGATGTATTCAAGTAATACATAAAAAAAACCTGAAAATCGTGTGACATTGTAAACACTGAGAAGCAAAAATGTTGTAACTGGTAAAGTTTATGATTATTTCTTAATATTTAAAAAATGCTTTAATCTACATCTATGAGATGAGTTAGACTAATAAAGTGACTTCAAAGAACTTGTTCATAACTAACAACTGTTATTGAAATATAAGTGATCAAAATCAATCTTATTACTCAAGAATTAGGAGAAAGAAAAAAAATTAATTTATAAATTTCATGTTTTTTCTATTGTTTTTTATTTAATGTTTTCATTGGGTAATTGTTGCCCAAGACAAAGTAGAATGATGGAAGCTCATTGAAGATGCAAAAAACTAACCAAGGGCATTAGTGGAAATGTATATATTTTTTTATTCTGATTTGTCTAGTATTGTTTCTGTTATTTATTGTTCAAAGATTTTGAGAAATAATTTATAAGTTGATAGGAAACCAGGACCAATGATAATATAGGCACATATTTTTGCTTCTCAGAGAATTATTGATCATATAATCTAGGGTTATATCATTATGGATAAAAATTAAATAACGAAAGTTCTGCAACATTAATATAAATTAATTCCATGGTAACTAAAATCACATTAGTTATATATTTAAATGAGTAACGTTAATAAGAAATGAAACATATACAACAAAAACAAAACATGGAAAAAAAATACTGCCATTAAATAATGTCATATACTGGATATTATTCTACCATAACTATATAAAATAGGTAACACAACCAAATCTTAAATGAAAACAATACAAAATTAAAAATTAAAATCGAACCAAAAATAATTATCTCTAGGGGACTAAAATCTAAATGCAACAAAAATAAAAGTAATTAAGAAAAAACATTAATATAATGAGAAAAAAGAAACAGAAAAAAAAGGCACATGGCATGGACATCGATATAATAATCGATATAAACTAGGGGATAGAAATAATTGACAAAGTCTTGTCGGGAATATGAACAAAATCTTCCCAAATAGGAAAGAAATGTGTCACTTCCTCACAAGGTTGCCTATTACGTTTTGCATTTTATAAAACAAAGGTTAATTTAATTTAATATTAAAGAAATACAATGGAACTGGATCAACGATAGACGAAAGTGCATTTCAAAAAAAGAATTCATCTAAATTAAAGAGGTAATTAATTTTTGGCTCTGATTTTTAATAATTACGATGAAAGCTGGCAGATAAAGACGCAATAGGCTCCCAGGCCTTGTCAATTATACTTACTGTCTTCCCCTTGACAAGGCATACCAGGTGCTGGCGGAGCATTTGGAAAAACTGAAACAAATAAAATAGAAATGAGATTACTTCATGCTTTACTATCTATTTTCTATTACAATCACTATTAAAAAAAAAGAAATTATATAATGAATAATCAGTCGGAAAACAATTGAAATTTGAAAGCCCAATGATGAAAAATTAATGGGGAATAACAATTTCAACTTTAATGAACATTCCTTCCAGAAAAAAATATAAAAAGAATTTGATTTCTCTCTGGTGGAAGCGAATAAAGGGAGATGGGACTATTACTGAGTTATACACAGTCAACGGATCAAAGGCAGAAAGAGTCCATCTCTTCTGGTCACCAATCGTCGATTCTGTTTTATCAGGTCTAAGGGTCCCAATCTAATTTCCAAAGGATAAAATTCTGAAAATATAAGAGATCAAAAAAGAATTCTTCAATGGGAAAATATTTCAGTTTTTTGTAAATTAGAACACATGGTATAGGTTTTTTAAAGATTGTTATTAACGAAATTACAATCATAAATATAGGGCGCCTTAACGTAATTTTATTATACATAACTTGAGAAAAAACTAAATTATTAGAAGACAAGTAAACCTGTTTCTAAGTTGAATACCATCATCAATAACAGAAGAAAATACTAGACAGAACCCGCATAACCTGGCTGTGCTGCAGATTTAGTATTAGTACCGGAGCCGGAGCACAGTCAGGACAATTGGAGGTTCAGAATTTAATTTTGAGGGAGGGTATCAGCCCGAAACCTATATATATATATATATATATATATATATATATATATATATATATATTATATATATATATATATATATATATATATATATATATATATAAAATGATAAAGAAAGAAAGAAAAAGAAAGAATCTAACTATCAATATTAAATAGTGTCCAAAAGATTCTTGGAGCCCTACTAAATGTAATTACACGGACAAAAATACTTTTAAATATAATTTTTTTATATATTTTTTTCATACGATATGGTTATATTTTACTATTTTGAGGAAGGGAGGAAGGGATTCAGCCCGAAATTTCTCTTCCCGTTGATTCACCTTTGTTCTAGGAACCGACAAAAATAGACGTTCAACATTTTTTAAACTTTTAAATTTATGACAGGTTATAGTTGAATAATGAATACCTTCCATGATATGGAAAAGTGGTTACGTTTAAAATTATTAGCAGCATAAAACGATTCGTCACTTACTTACGAATGATTCTTTTGTGGAAACATTTATTTCATATTCTATAGAATAAATACAGTCCAGTCGATGAATGATTATAGAAGGAAATGACGGGTTTTTTTGACTTTGTGACATCGTTTGGACTAGTGAGGAGGTAAACATACTAAAAGTCCCCACTCCTAGATGGTGAGTTAGATGTGGGGAGGGGAGTTTGGGTTTTCGCTTGTATCAGGAAAACTATCCATCAAATCGACCAAGACGTTTTATACAAAATTAAAGCTGATAAAATTTGCAACATGATTTATTATAAATTTTTTCCCCATCTAGCTTAGTTTCCGAGATATCCGTTTTCATCTATAGCTAATGTGGAAAAAAGAAATGTATCTCATGTTTTTTAGTGTATTTAACTAGCTAACTCTTGAATTCTTCGTTTCATGCATGATGCATGCTGAAGAAAATTTGTAATAATTAAATTTTCTTCAAGAATATTTATTATGTTACTAGTTTATCTCCAACGGCTCAAAAGTTATAACTTTATATCAATTATAACTTTATATGTCAATTCCGAGAATTTGCAGAAAAAAATAATTTTTATAATATTCGTTATTATTATATTGCTCTAACTGTCTATACATCTAAATCTCCATATATATACTTATACATACAATAAAATTTATTATAAAAATAATTTTTTTGCTGCAAATTGTCGGAATATAAAGTTATAACTGATCTAACTTTTCAACCGTTGAATATAAACTAGTGAAATAATAAATATTCTTAAAGAAAATTTAATTATTAAAAACTTTCATCCCCATTACTTAATCATAAAACGAAGAATTCGAGAGTTAGCTAGTTAAATATAGTAAAAAAAAAAAACATGAAATAATTTTTTTTTTCCACATTATTGATAGATGAGAACGGGTATATCGGAAACTAAGCGAGATAGCGAAAAAAGTTTTATAATCAATCATTTTGCAATTTTTATCAGCTTTAATTTTGTATAAAACGTCGATGCGATGGATAGTTTTGCTGAAATAAGCGAAACCTCGAAAAAAATGGCCTACTAGGCGCTCTCCACCTAGGAGTGGGGACTTTTGGTATGTTTACCTCCTTATTATTCCAAACGATTTCCCAGTTTATATTCCTACAATAACAACTTTGAATAGTAAAAGGGTGTATTGTTAATTTAAAATAAAAATTAGCTTATGATTTGTTATAATCTACTCAAGTTATTGTATTTCCTCAGGACTTCGAACTGACTGCTATAGATAACTCAATTTTCTTCGAAGGCAGACCAGGTAAATGAAACTTCCCCAGAAATGATAGATCACGACAAGCCATTTTAAAATTTAATCGATCTCCATTTCCTTTAACTTATCTTAGATAAGTAAAAATCGTTATTACCACTCCAAATAATTTTTAAAGATTACTAAACAAGAAATAGAAGTGAATACAGCATACAAGAGGACTGTGAATCAATTTGCTTGGTAAAATAAGTTGAGACTATTGGCTTCATCGTCACGGCTTTTAAAGAAAACCTTGTTCTAAAAGGAAAGGGATGGGAAAGGACTGAGCGGTGAGAAGAATAAAATCGGAGAAGAGAGTAGAAAAGGAGACAGAGAATACAAAGGAGGGGGCATTAAGGGGACACCATTCCAGCAAATGAGAGAAAATTTAGTTGAAGGGAACTTTGTCATCGCATTATAACCTAGCCAGCTAGCAGATAACCCAGTCCCGGTCCAACTCTCGTAAATTATTCCACCTAAGGAACAGCCTGTGTGTTCAAACTATGTTATTAAAGGATAACTTTAACTAAACTTAACCTAAATAAAGTTTATAACAATAATATTTAACAATCGTTTAAAACAATATTTTAATTCGAAATTATATGTTTGTAAAGAGAAAACTTCTTCAAGCGCGTTTTGCATTTTTTTGTGGAGAGTGAATTAGACTGAACCGTCAGATATTAAATGTGTAACGCTCGGGCAAAGTCGGCTGGAGTCGACTAATTGAAGAGTTTTTGCATATGGATTAAAATTCTCAGAAACTAAAAACCGGATCAGCATACTGCAAGCGAGGGAATTGTTCAGCATTTCATCCTCTCTACAATGGGCTGTTATTCAAAATTGTACCTTAACGCAATGCCGTGTTAGAGAGGCGAAAAGCAAAACAATAGTGTCGAAAACTAAATGATAACGAGTTTTATGGAAAATATGGATTAATCTAAGAAATAAAAGATCTAACGCATAATGTAAGGGAGGGAAATGTTCAGCATTTCATCCTCTTCATAATGAGCTATTATTTATAAATTAAATTCAATAGTATTAATCTCGCCTTGTTAATGTTTTCACTTCGATCGTGTGGTCAAAAGCACACATCTAAAGCACGATTTAAACATAAGAATTGTAAATTTAAATGCATTATTATGCTAGACTGAAATGACAAGAAACCGCTCGACGTTTCCGATTACTTCAGCACTTACTAGACAAACGCTCTAAACTTCAAATTAATTACAAAGGACTCATATACTTGACTATAATAAGGCCTATTTGGACTTACGGAGTTGAGCTATGGGGCTCCACTAAACCATCGAATTCCTCTCGTATCCAATCCTTACAATCCAAAATCCTTTGTAAAATCCTCAATCCTTCCTACTTGGTTACAAATAAAACCATCCATAATGACCTTAATGTTTCATTTGTTTCAGATCTGCCCCAATCCAGATACCTATCCTTCCATAATAAACTTCAGAATCCTCCCAACCCTCTCGTTTCTAACCTTGCTTCCTCTTCAATATCTGATAACCCTCCGAGGAGTCTGAAAAGAAGATGGCCCCGTGATCTCCTAATGTAGACATATCATTAAAGTGCTACCATTGGGTAGTTTCTCAGCAAGTGTTTTCATGTCATTATATTCATTATGTTCAAATTTACTAGGTGTATTTATTTAATACATTTGTAAATATCATTAAGAAATAATAAAAAAAAAAATGCATTCTTGGCAAATTTCGATGCAAGATAATAGATAAAATTAACAAACAAGCCCCCAAAAAATATAAAAATATACTAAAAAAAATTTATTATTATTTATTATTTTATTTTTTTATTGATAAATATTACAATCTGTCTCAATAAAGGACATTTTTAATAGAGTTCTGAGAGCACATTCACACCATAGAAAAAATAAATAAAAAATTTTCCCCGAAAACACAGACACTTTTCGGTGACTGAATAGAAAATCACATTATTTCTTTACTCAACTTGAGATGTATCTCAAAAATTTTCCTAATAAACCTCAACTTAAGTAATATGGACTTAAAGCTTATTAAATGAGGAAGTTTTTCTGATAGTGATAAAAATAAATCTCAAATAATTTATGACTTTTTTTCAAATGGAAATTAGATAAGTTTGTGCGCTCAATAGTCCTCTTTGAAATGGTTTTAACAATGACAACCTACACTTTCGTTTGAAGTAAATTTTGTTTAGTTCACTATAGAGCAATGTTTAGTTACTTAAATAAAACATTTTTTTTAGTTATCGCATTCTATTTAACGAAAAAACGTGACTTGCTTTAAAAAATACAAATCTTAACTATCCTACTTTTTTTCTCGAAATGGGACAATTGTTTACGAGAACTTTTTTGTAGATCTTGATGTTAGCTATCATTGCGATAAAAATTTCTCCCTACTTACGGGATACTACCCTGTATAATAAATGAATTGATTAAACGATTAAAATAAACAAAATGGTGGAAAGAGACTATTGAAATTAATAATAATTAGGCTACATTGTTACAGGGGGGGGGGGATGCGGGCCCTGCGGTTGTATTGAATAATTAATA